GCGGGCGCGGTTATGCGCTCCGATAAGAAACCGATATCTAGAAACGCGTCCAAATGGAACGCTTTTACAGAACGCCGTAAAATGCTTCCCCGGCGTTATAGCTTTCCAGTAACAGATGATTTAGTGGTTTTCGCTGATTCTCTACAAGTTTCTAATTGAAACTATATGTCTATTTCCACTAATTAAAAATTTAATTAACGAATTTTAATTAATTAGCCGACTTATCGCAAAGATTAGTCACCCACATGATGTCCGCCTGGTCGTATAACCCACCTGCACAAACCGCGTTAGTGTAGCTTTCATGGATTTTTTTAAACAAGTGTGTAAGAATAAAAAAACACCCTGTATATATATATATATATATATAGAGAGAGAGAGAGAAAGATGAACAACACGACGTGCCATGGGCTCCCAGACGTCGACCCCACACATCAGACAAACCTCCGGAGCCCCTGATGCTGATAAAAAACATGGCTTCTTGTTTGAGCCAAGAGGTAAGGAGGTTGAAAGGGCACTGGATGCTAATAGGGATAAGCTATTCGGGATAATTGGGGATAAATCGACGTGCCCCACGGGGGCAAGTGCGGTTACGTACCCACCCGGCTGAAGCCTGAAGCTGGCTGTTGCCTTAACTCGGCTGGAAGTTTTGATTCGGCTCCGCGCTCCAGTTCGGCTACATCCTCAATTAGGCTAGAAGTTTCTATTTGTCTGGACGCTTCAGTTCGGCTACATCCTCAGTTTGGCTAAAAGTTTCGATTCGGCTGCTCGCTTGATTTCGGCTAGATCTTCAGTTCAGCTACAAGTTTCAATTCGGCTGAATTCAGTTTGGCTAGATCCCCGTTTCAATTAGGCTGGACGTTCCAAGTTAATTAAGTTTGACAGCCAAGCATAAGGTGCCCCCAACTTTGTAGAGAGGCGTTAACTATACCCGCCTCTCGCCTAAACATTGTAGCCCGCGAATTAAAATCAATAAGTTCAAGCAGATAAGAATGCTTTAGGCATAAAAAAAAACATTTTTGTTTGTCTTGTGTGTCTGTGGAGCTGATGTGCAAACACCAGATCTCTGCTTCAAAATGAAACAATCTATTCACTTGCATAAAGAATTAATAACAGCAGTCTAAAGATTGCTTCTTTTCGGGCGAGTGAATAAATTATTTTATTTTGAAGCAGAGACCTGGTGTTTGCACAGCAGCTCCACAAACAGACAAGACAAACACAAATGGTTTTGTGCCGAAAGCCTTCTTAGCTGTATGAACTTTCTGATTTGAAGTCACAGGTTGCAATGCCAAGGTGATATGCGGATATAGTTAACGTCTCGCAATAATATTGGGGCATCTTATGCTTGTATGTCCAACTTGATCAACCTAGAACGTCCAGCTGAATTGAAACGAGGGTCTAACCAAACTGAAGCATGCCGCCGAATTGAAACTTCTAGCCGAACTGAGGATGTAGCCGAACTGAAGCGTGCCGCCGAATCGAAACATGTAACCGAACTGAAGCGTCCAGCCAAATTGAAACTTCTAGCCGAATGAATGATGTAGCCGAACTGGAAAGGTGAAGCCGAATCGACACTTCTAGCCAAATTGAGGCTTCAGCAAGATTGGGATGACAGCGGCAAGGGCACTGGTAAATGTAACATTGAATTTACGCCTTCGAATTGGTCAATTGGGACCCTTTCTGTATTTATGCTCTTAGTATAAGTTCCTTGTGTCTCACATTAACTTAGACTACCTGTTTTATTGTGCTATCCCGTGCTTGTCGCCATGTAAATTCATTTCGAGCCCCATAACAACAATCCTCCTTTCGATGGCGCCTTGTTCGTAGGACTGTCTCTTTAAAGTTTTCTTTCGTTACGGCAGGCATCTCGCAGTGCACGTAGGAGACTGTACCTGCAAACTGATACTGACAGAAACAAAGGTCCTTTGAAGGTTCCTTGAGAAGAGCTCAAGGGAACTATACGAGGCGAAGATCATCAAAGAAAAAAACAACTTTTGTCAGTGCACCATCAGTGGCATTACGTGAAAAAGAACTTCATTACCTTAACTTTCCTACTTGATGTTGTTTCAGTAGTTTACTGTCAGGAACTTCCTCCTTCTTTCTGCTATTTCTCAGTTTTTTTGTTTTTTTTTAACGTAACATTTTGCTTTTTTATGTTATTTCTCAGTTCTTTCAGCGTAACTTTCCCTTCCCGTTCAGGCAATTTCATTTTGGCAAGGTTTTTTATAACCTGTAAAGAAAGAAGAGAAACGCTACCTCTTTCTCGTCTTCTGCATGAATATTAAAACGACAGTTGTGAGCTAGAGCTTGTTTTGTCAGTGTGCACTTGACCTTCGCGCTATTCATTTGTAATATGCATATCGTACTACCCCACCTTAATATTTTAGTACCGCAGGTCGGCTGGAGGCCCACTCACGCCCCTTATTTCTAAATGGTACAATGTTCTGGTTGATTGCGACGGCAGATTACACATGCCCCACGGGCGAATATCGGTACGAGGAACCTCGTAGGCGGTTTGGACACGCGTTGTCACATCCGCTTGATTCACGTTAAAGATCCCAGATCAGCAGTCTTTTTGTACTGTCCAAATTGCCCTTACACAGCGTTGAACAAGTTTTAGCGTTTCTCCTGGGTAGACTGACCTCTTTTGGGGATGTAATTTTGTTCTAAATTTGGTTATTCGCTGAGATTCCATGTTCGGTCACAGTGATTGACTACTTGCGACCTCTGCAAAATATGGAATGTTTGTTATTGTTGCTGTTGCCGTTGTTGTAACTGTTTTTTTTTTCTTTTGAGAGATGAGGGCGAGTTGATTTTATTCGTTTCGAACCATGCTGTCCGGGCTTGTGCCATTGGTGTACTCGAAGGTACAGCGAGCACGCAAAAGCAACTTTGACAGGATTCTTTTTATATATGCTTGTCCACACAAGCAGGAACATGAGCGCAGCCAGGATGTACCGTAAGCACTTGTGCCTAACTGCTGCCAAAGCACTTCCCAAAGCTGTGCGTTTGACGAAATTGTGCCCGAGATATCTTTTTATGGCCTTGGCATTTCAACTGGGTAGCTACGGCAGTAAATATATGAATAAGATATGATTACAAGCTGTTTATTTCACGGCCACAATTTGAAAGTCAGAGAAGTGTGGATTAGACCAACTTTCAAAATTAAATCTGCCAGGCTATAGATGTGACTCAGACGACTCTCAGCTAATTGCTGTTAGCTATTTCGCTAAAACGTTTCGTTCCAGCAAAATAGCTTTTTTTCGTTTGCGGAGGCGGACAAAAGCCTCAGAATTCCTACCAGTAAGCTCAGAACTAAGTGCACATAATCCCTCTTCCTTGCATTTTCTCAGATATCATACACAGAAGTAAGCTTTTTTTCTTCTTCTTTTGCAGATGAAACAAGCTTACACATTCATAGGCCTGCCCTCTATTTATCCGCTCCCCACCATACTTTTGTTCACTAAGATATCAGAAAACACTCCTGTTAGATTTAGACTCTGGATGATTGACTTCCGCGCTGAAGAATAAATAAAATAAAAGAAGAATCTGAGGCAGGTAAGGAATGGAAGGGGATGGGGCTTGAAAAATTACAGAACAAGCCTGGACATTGGGGAGCTGTCACTGCTAGAGAGCTGTCAACCAGAAGCAACCGGGATGCCTTGCGTTTTACTTAAAATATGCAAGCAGCTCAGTCACAGATTGTGTGCGGTGCAGCAGGCATTCGCAAAGTCGTACGAGTGGCTCTCTCATTCCGCCTCCATAGACAATGCGAATCGACGGGTTTGGTGTTGCACGAAACACCGGCTTTGTGGTGGACAGAGTCGTTTTTTTTTCCTGAAATATATATTCGTCCCCGTCGATTGGATCAGCTATTTCTCCGAATTTAGAGTCCAAACAAACGTTGCTTGAACTACCCGTGCATTAAGTGGAACATTTTTGTTTGTATGTGTGTTTCAGGAATGAGCTTGTTTCATACCAACTTCAAAGTCCTACAACTAGAACGCGTTACCCTAGGAGCTGCGTAATCCCACTATACTTCTCAACTAATAATGACTACGCTCAAAGGGTATTAGCAATCTCGGCGAATCATTGCACAATTATGTTTTTTTCCGCAAGTTTTAAAATAACACGTTTTACACTTACCATACTATACAACCAAATCCGAATACGTTATCCCCTTCCCGCCTCAACTATAACCATAATTTGAAAGGTCTATAGAGAAGGCTTGCATTCACTAGCTATTTTTCTCACTACAGTCATCGCATGGAATAGCCTTCCTGAAACCATCGCCTCCAACACCAGTTCCGTACTGTTGTGCCAAGAGGTCACAAAAACCATGAGTTTACATTTCTTTTAATGTTGTGTTTTACCTAGCTTATGTTTTTGGATCGATGTCTTGTTTCTTTTTGTATTAACCTTCGTGTAATGTCATCGATTCTTTATGGATTAACATGAATAAATAATTCATTTTCGTTTGTTCGCACTTGGCTCCATGAACGCTCTTGCAGTGTGAACACCAGTCAGTGCTACCTGCTTGTGCAGGTAGCTTTCACTGCACTATATACAGACAGACTAGCCGTCTTTACGATTAGTCCATGTTTAGGTGAGACGAAGCATGACGAAACGACACTCGATTTTTGCGTATCCGTTTTACTATATTGACGCTAAACGCCAAAATTGGTTTCAGTGGTAACGTTGCAGGCTGCATAAATAGTTTTTGTTTTAAATCTATACTGTGTTTAACGCCCCAAAATTAATTTGTTTACCTTATATGTAACGCCCAATAAGCTTGGTTGAGCTGTATTAAATACATGTCCTTTTTTGTGTTCTATCCTGAAAATAACTGTAGTAGTAATTCTCTACTTTTCCGATAACGTGTATACGGGTGCGCAAGGGCAGTAGAATGAATTGGTAATATGCGCAGGTGTGTGGGCGAGCTTGTTTAACAGAGCAGCGAGAACTTTACATAGCAGTGTACAATCTAAGTTGCTTCTTTCCACTCACCCAGTCTTGGCGAAGTTTCCCAGGGCTCGAACAGTTTGCCTGCTGAAGGCAAGCTCCGCTTGAGGAATGGACATTTCTCGGAACCAGGCCGGAATATAGCGCCATCTGTCTTCTTTTAAATTTTCGCGCAGCATAGCCACCGAGCCAAGCATATAAGGTAAGTCGTCACCATGTACAATTCCTGTCCAGTTTGGCCAGTGGCTTAAACTCATCCGCTGACCATAGACGTACCGATAGACGTCGTGGCCTTGTCTCGAGAGAAAGTCACCCCAAATATTTGTCGCGCAGATGAATACGACGTCACCGTACGTGTGGCCGAGCCGACTTAGCATATCTTCTTTTGAGACGTTTTTTTTGCCGTGAGGAAAATAGGACTGGATATACCTACGAGCAACGCTGGACGGAACATTGAGGGCTCTGCCCAAAAAGACGGATACTACAGTATCGTAATATTCAGTTACTAATCGACCAAACTCTTCGTTTATATCGAGCATATGCTGGATAAATAGAGACCCTTCGTCCACTGTGGAGCCCATCAACATTTCTTCGCCATTGATCCGCCCCATGTTGTCTTCTGAAAACAAACTACGAGGTAAAAATTCGTCTCCGTGCAACGGGTAGAACATAACAGATCCTACTCTGCCCCCCTTCAAAGCAGATAGGATCTTCTCTGTTTTGACCTGGCGCAAACAATTAAGCATAACTGAAATATTTTGCGAAGGACTTGCACATTGGGTGGAAGCCGCAATGTCGTAAAAACTACTCGTTTCCTCCCCAGTAGGAAGCGTAAACAGGGAGAGGGGTGTGCCGCTCTCGAATATGCATCTTTTGAACAAGCCTCTGCTAAGAGGCGATAAAACATGAACCCCCACCGCCATAGAACCCGAGCTTTGGCCATACAATGTCACAGAACCTGGGTCCCCTCCAAAAGCAGTCATGTGCTTCTGAACCCATTTCAAGGCTAGCAGTTGATCCCAAAACGCCAAATTTCCCGGTGCTTCTTTTGTGCCAGTGGTGAGAAACCCGAATACGCCCGTTCTGTAGTTGAAACTAACAAAGACAACGTCATTTACCGAGGAAAACACTAAGCCGTCATTGTAGAACATTGAGGTATCACCCCACTGAAAAGCTCCGCCGTACACGTACACGACCACAGGTAACATAGAATTGCACTTGTCAACCCTGGCGCACGATGGTTTCCAAATGTTCAGGTACAAGCAGTCTTCTGATGACAGAGAGTTGTTGAGAACGACACCATAATGGATCCTAAAGTTTAGCTGGCTGCAGGCGGGTGCATACTGACTTGCACTGCGAACGTTTCCCCACGACGGAAATGGTAAAGGCTTTCTAAAACGAAGGTCCCCCAATGGAGGCACAGCATACGGGATTCCAAGGAAAGCATCGGTAAATTTGTTCTCGAACGACAACCGCACCCCAGCAAGCCTTCCGCTGGGAGTGTTAACCACAGGTGGTTCTGCCCCTGACGCACAGACCATTATAACGTTCGCTAGCAGAACAAGCGTCTTGAGTACAGAGGGAACAATTTGCAAGACCATCTTGATCAAACGAAGTGCGATGGAAAATGATGTACTCACATACTGTCGGTTCGAATGAAAACATCGCGTCATCTACTGCAATACAACACAGCGTTCTTATCGGTAAAAAATGCAGCGTTAAGGAAGTGTTATTAATACCATACACACCTACCGTTTCCTGATCGTGTCATTTGCGTTGCTGACGGGCCTTTTTTGCATCGCATTCTTGCACAAAACAAATGCGGGCTGTTTCCATGCATCCGTCTTCTTTTTCCATTCCATCTATTAATAGGCAGTTTTTAAAATAATATACGCACAGAATAGCGTCCTCGTCACTGCCGATACGCCGAAGGCTTACAGGTTTTTGCGCTTTGGTGCGCTATTTTAACGTACGCTATTTCTCGGAAATTGTGTGCGTACGCAAACAGTCTTTGCGTTCCTTCGAAAAGGAGTCGTGATGCACGAGAAGTTGGCAAAAGCCAAGACGAGCACAGTTAGAGAATAGTCGCTCCCAGGACCGCGGTTGCGGCCGCTTTGGGGGTCGTCGTGAGCGCGACGTCGGTGGCATCCTCGCTTCTGCGATTTTCAATCCATAACGGCATTGCAGTTCTACGGGAGGGCACGTCCCGAACGGTTTGGAAGACCCGTCAAAGTAGGCAACGATCGCCGGTAACCTGCTGCTTCCGACGCGTACGGCGGGTACGTGTGCGACGATAAGTGTCAGCACTCGTGACCTGTCTTGCCGAGGCGACTAAAGCGGACATGACCAGTTTACGGTTCTTGTCGCATTCTCATGTTTAAACAAATCTGAAATGTTACTCCAGATCAAACAACTTGTTAGTTCTCAAGTTACCGCATTGCGTGCGTGAAATCAAAATTGCTATTGTGTCTTGGTGGCATTACAAGCGCGAGATGCTTGGCGTTTTGCGTCGCGGCGTAGAAACGCTATTCTAAAACTCTCATGCGTGGCGTGCTCTAAAATTGCGTACGATATTCTAAAACTTTCTTATAAATTATCGCATGAATAACGACTTCAGAACACCAGATTGCAATGTGAAAAAAAAAAATATATTCTCAGTATACTTTGAATGGATCGTACTTTGTTTTCACAATTTATTCATTTTTTATAAAGAATTAACATTTGCGTGTGTGTTTTCTTGCTTCTGCATGGATATCCTAACAACCTGCATGTTTCTTCTGCTGTTGACACCTTCGCAACTTCAGTGAAACGACCCAAACTCACTTCAAACATTTTTTTTTCTTCTCGCTTAAATAGAGTGATACGCCAACGTAGGTGTAGCTTAAATCTTCGAGAAGATTTGGCTTATAATTGCTGACACATTACTGCAAGATTCCGGTAAGTTTTTTTCATTATAAAGCTGGCCAAAGTTTAGCATTTCACATTATTTGATTTTATTTCCGTAAGATGACCTCGCGCCTTAGTTTAAGGCGCTCCTTCCCTTGAACACGTATTGTTGTTCTTTGAGGATGCACTGTACAACCAACTCTCCCGGAAATAAGCGGATTACGGCCTTGCGATTAATCCCAAAGAAGACCGAGAGTATAATTTCTTTCCAGGAAGCTTTCCGCACTACATGGTTTCCAAGGACGTCGCCGATGAGGCAATGTAAATAGATGGCGGAAACTGTACGCGACTTTCCTCGGAAAGAAACAAACAAACGTGGCGGTCATAATGATCTATTCACGCTAGAGACGCCTCTTTTCGTAATAAACCGAGATCATGATAGGTATGGTTTTGGGATTTTTCGATAATATATAAAAAAAATGTAAAAACACTGGTGAGTATCAATTTGATCTTTTTGAGCCAATCCCAATGACTTCAATATTTGAGTCCACGGAAACAATGCAAAATGACAGGAATCTTAACATTTGTATTTGTAGAACACCCCGTGAGAGGTTCGAATGAGTTAGCATTCGAGTTTATTTTCTAACCTCAAACGATTCACAAAAATGAACTAATGTTTTAAAATTGCTAAATCTCTACAAGAGAAAAAAAAAACACATGCATTGCGTTATTCAGTCATCGAGTGCCTAGCATTCGAAACTGAGTTAGTGCCTTTTATAAATGGTAATCTCTAACAGGAGACTGCATGCTGTTTCGTGAATGGCTGGTGCCATTGCATTTATGAGGCAATGACTTCAAGCGTATACTCATTGATTTTTATGTCTTCGTTGCAGATATCGCAAGGCCATTGCTACCACCAGTGACAAATACCATTACAAATCATACTAACAAAGGATACATCGAAAAACTTACCGAATTCAGAACGCGTTAAAACTTTCGACGCTTTCTGCCGAGTATATATATATTAATAGATTTCGGATTAACGTCTAAATGTAAAGGCCAAGAATTTAGAATCAAGTAAAATTTCATAAAAGCTCAAAACGCCATAGAACAATTAACTCCAGTAGCACCCTAGCAGCTTAACTAAAACATAAACATCAAAAGCATAGATTTCGTGGTGGTCGATGAACTAAGAGCAGAAGAAGGCAGCACAAAAAATCAGGACGAACGTTCACACGACGTCGTCACGCGCAGTTGAGTCGGTCAACTTGCCTTGTCAACTTCACAAGTCTGTCGGAAGCAGGCGTTCTCCGGAAACAAATGGAGGAGTCAAAAATACCTAAAAAACGCACTCCCCGGCTCTGCCCGCTGTACCCTACACCTCAAAGAGTGTTCAGTGAGCATCTGTTTCTACGGATGATTGGTCGTGTGAACCTTCCTATTTTCAATAAAATTGTGACCGAAGGCGAAGCATGGGTTCTCGAGTTGGACCGGAAAATATCAATTAATATTTTGTGACATCAAGAAGGAAGCTTCACAAACCATGGGCCCTGTGTTGTGTAGCTTCTTTTCTGTCCTTGCAATTGCCTGTGCTTTCAAAACTGCAGCAATTTGTTTTGTTTTGTTGTTCGCTCATATTGTGCTCTTAGAAAAGCACTGTACAAACTCTTGGACCATCTATATTTTCCCTCTTGTGTTCGTTCTGTCATTGTTTCTTTCTCTTCCTCTATATCAATCTTCTTTCTTCTTTTTTTTTATAAGATAGCGAGCAATATTTTTTTTTATCTTACAACTTTCTCTTAGTACAAGCTTTATTATCTCTTTATCTCCACTTTTCTTGCACCGGTGAAAGTCTCCGGTGAAAACCCGTATTGGTGTAGCTAAATTCGCTTGTCTGGAGTGCTGATTACTCGGAAAATATTTACTTTTCGACACATACCTATGTTTATAAAACTGTGGTGCATCGTCGTTCGCACTGACTCTATCACGCGCGAAGTGTGCGTCGCAGAAGAAGCACATTTTGCTTCTCTCCCGTTGACTTCATCGAATCGGAACCCTTCGAAGATTACCTGATTCGTGCTTTTTCGCCTTCTGGTTTTCCATGATGGGTTTGTCCTTGGGGTCTTTAATAATGATATAATACTCCATAAAAGAGGTTATGGCTAGCACATTCCCATTCGCCCAACTGGCGGAAGTTCTTCTCCATTAGCGAAAAGTAGCCGAGAATGACGGTCATCAAGGAAATATTCTGAGATTAATTTATCCCCGATGCATCGAATGTTCCTCTTCGTTTCTCTTCTCGCAAGCCACCAATCAAACGACCTAAACAACCAAGCAGCAAAAAGATCTTTTCCGTCTTACCTTGCTTGGGTTTCAGCGTTTCTTCATTTGTTTCCGTAGACCCCCACTTCTGTACCGAAAAATAAGATAACGATATTCTGTTTGAAGTAGACCAGGGATTAAGCTGTGGCCGTACAACCACTAATGCTGCGCCACTTTTACAAAGAAAAAAAAATTACGGTCGTCCTTTTTGGCTGGTGTCATGTAGTGGAGGTCGTCCGACTTTCGACACTTCGCTTGAAACCTACTCACGAAAACAAGGGTGTAGGCAATTTTATACCCGTTCCCCTGTTTCACATTTTCGCCGCCACACAACAGAACTTCTCAATTCACGTTTCGACAGGAGCGAACTTCCTGAATGACGACTTTGCCGTTGGGTAGCGCCGACGCCGCATTCTCTGGAGGGTAGCATCCGCCTGTGGGGACTGCATCTGTCTATTTCCCGCAAATGCATTCCTTCTAACCCGCCGTATCCTCTTTCCTTACATGTTTCTTATTTCACGCGCACTCTCAACTCCAAAATGTATAATTCATTCTGCACCCGCGTGTTTCCAAATCACCTAGACATTCTTCTTCACATTTATGTTTAATCGCGCCGCTCTTAAATTAGCAGAACGATATTCTAGAACGTGTCATTTAAATGATGATCGCAAAAGCAAACTTTAGAACTCTTCGTGTGTTTTTTTATTTATTTTTATGAAATACCCCCATGGCACTCACTAAAAAGTAAACCATTCTAAAATCTAAGTAGTCGCTTGAAATATCATTAGAAACTTTTTTATGCGAAGACGCTCAAAAAGAAATCGCGTCAATTAATCGGAAGCTGCGCTGCTACAATTTCACATTTAGAATGCACCAGAAGCCGGCAATCAATACGCCCATATAAGGTTTCCGTCATTTCGCACCTGCTGACCTAATTCTGGCCACGTTCTTGCTCACAGTTTTTTGGTTTTCAAGATCCTCCCATGTTTTCCACGTTCTGTTGCGTGACGGATGTCACAAATAATGCAAAGGTGCACCTTTGTATTATTTGCAGCATCCTCATAACCGTAAAATGCAGGTTGTTCACCTTTGTTGGTGTTAGACTGGTCGCAGCTGTTAAAACCCGTTTGCTCTACTGACGTCTAAGTCCTGGTTGTCTCAGTTTGTAGAGAAAAACACTGGAAATGGAGAGGTCCCTGGTTCGATACCAGGAGCAGGCGGATTTTTTCAGTCGCTCACCATCATCTAGCCATGTTTGGAGATTTGTGTTTGTCCTTTGTCCCTCTTTTCACCCTTCTCCGGGGATTATTATCGTTATTTTGGTACTTGAAATTAGCCCCCGAACCTCCTTAAATAGGATGTCTGGTTGGCATTTTTCTCATAAATGCCTTTT